GTTGTACATTTGCTGTCACGTTAAAGTTATATTAAAGTTTTTCTTCATTACCCATTCAAGCCGTCTCCAGCCATTAAGAGTCAGCATGGGTTTAGTTTCGACACATTCCTATGTCCTCTTCAGCTCACGTTGTCTTTTGGCAGGAAAACTGGTCAACAACACATACGCAATCCCGGAACTTCGATTTCCTTAAGAAGGCCAGGAAGTTTAAACAGCTTGCTTAAAGTGACCTTGGGAGGTGTTTAAATTAGGCAGGATTTGGATTGAACAACTAGTGAAATTTCCTTTTTTGTAGCAATTCGTTTTGTACAAAATTCTTGATTTCCTATCAGTTTAATGGTTAGAATCTCTCATAAGAAAAAAACTGCATTATTTTTGCTTTAATATTTAAATAATCTTTTTTTTTTGTTCATTGCTGTAAAATGAAAAAGGCAAAAGACGAAACCGTTGTGAATTCGCTAAATTGTCTTATAAAATATAGTTGATTCAGTTTTATCTAAATTAACATAACCCAGTATATATTAGTGTTGTAGGATTATATTTTAACTTATACACAGTGGTTATTACGTATTTCGTGCAATGGATGATCTGACTTTTAATAACACCTAAAACCCTGTTCGTACTCTTATTGGGTTTTATTTGTGTATGTATATATATATATATACTTTTAAAATTAATTAGTGTATTTCGTAATTGTCAATATCTTGCACATAACTTAAGAGCTGTCTAAAGCAGCAAGGGAATACTTTTTAGCATTCATAATTACATATTGTTGCGTATCTGCTTGTTTGTTAATTTCTCATAGAAATTCTTTCCGAGAAACTTCAGCGATAAAAGTCCTTGTTTAATAAAACTAGTTTATTCTAAGAAAAGACTAGAGTTGCCAAGAAAAGTCAAGATCCTTCGAGAATCTCATGACGTGTTACCAGGGTCATGTGTCTTCCGCTGTCGTAACAATATTATTTTTATAAGACGATTTGTACTGTGCTGTCATTTTTAACTTACTTTTTGTCATCGTAACTATAGGCATAATAAGGTATGGTGCAAGTGTAGTGACCCATTGACATTTAGATACGTCTTGTTAGTTTATTAGTTTATTACACGGATAAAGAAAGTTAAAGACACCTATTACCACCACCGCCGTCAACTTCTTTACAAGTCGGCGCCTATGATGCTATGTTCAGCACATTCATGTATCTATTGTTTAAATTAGTTTTTCATCAGTCTTAGAACTTTCATGAGCTCACAGTAGTGTATACTATTAATTTTATATAATGAAAAAAAATACGAAAAACATAGCTCATTTAATTTTACTGTTAGAGGAGTTTAACGTTAATTAATAAACTCAGATCTTGCTTTGTAGTTAAGCCCAAAGCTGCACAGTGTGCCATCTGTGGAGATTCTGAGTGACTTCATATTGTCTTATAGATGTGATAAATAGCATAAACTTGTGTAAATTTAATTACTCGTAATCAAAAACATTATATATAATTTTATTGTTAATGATTTTCTGTTACAGTGCTTGAATTCAAATAAACGACAACCAATTATAAAAAGAAATATATTTGTATTTAATATTTATACGTTGAAGCAACTGATAAGCTGAGCATATTGAAGTTTGCTTCAGAAGTTGGTAATGATTTCTTTAAAATGAAATATGTCAAAACTTTGGTTTAGCACATTGAAATAGTATTACACATACAAGCAAAACCTTTTTGTACTTTGTGGAATTCGGGTGATTTGGTCTCATATGTTACAACCAATTGCTGCAGTGATGGATCTGGTGTATGAAGTATGTTTTTTTACTGTCCAGTAATCATGTTGTGCTTGTTTGGAGAGCTATCTCCTTAAATTTAAGATTTACTCCAGTGATGGTAATGACATGGGTATGAAGCTACCAGCTGGAGCTAATGTTATTTCAGGTACACCTGCATATAAACACTTGGTTACCAGAACATCCGAGATCATTGATCAAATATTTTTCAGGCAGTTTCCATGGACAACAGACAAAAGAACTCAGTGAGCTACTAACAGAGTTTACCGATATGCTTTTCAGATCACACGGACATCTGGGTAGCACAGACATTATCACCTAGATAAGATGGCTACAAAAGGATGGAGTACTACAAGTGGTGGCTACTTGGTCATAATCTCTAGTGATTGTAAAGAAGGACAGTGTACCAAATATATCTGGTTTTAGTAGAGTGAATGCTTAACATGGGTCAATGCATTTTTCTGGATGTGTTATAACGTTCCTAGTGTCTGACTACTAGCAAAAAGAGATGGACACCCAAGACTAATTCTAGCACTCAAGATGGACTGTAGGCAGAGATGAAGTACCCACTGTTCCTATAATGATCAGTGGAGCTTAGGGTTTGGTCCATCCTGTTACTAAGAAAGAAGTCCACAGTATTTGTATTTTTGTCATATTATAAACATTTTGTTGATACCTTTTCAGTGATAACCGCATCGCTTTCTGCACTGACGAAAGATGATTCATAATTTAAATGAACTGAATACTGTAAGCAGGCTTTTAGTCACTAAAATGTATTCATGTAGTTTACCAGTGCTGGCTTACCCTAAGCAATATTTTCCATTTATTCTTGGTACAGACGTCAGTAACAGTGAAATTAGAGTAGTGATGTTGCATGCGCAAAAAGGTGTCAAACAAGTAATTACATACATAAATTACAAGAACAAACAAACAATTATTTACAGTTTACTATTGAAAAGCATAATATCACTAATTGTAAGGAGTAAAGTTTATTTGCACAGTGTATAATGCGTTACTGAAGTGGCTTATTTATGAACTTCAATCACCCAGAAACCACGATCACACATTAGATTACAATATCACGAGTAAACTTTTATTTGTATTGTTTATGAAAACAGCATTATAATACAGACATATTTTCTTACTAAGAATGAAAACTTGTCTAATCTTGAGTGTCCAGATCTTAAACATCATGCTGTTGTGATAATTATTACTAAAACATTCGGGCAGTAGGATGCTACTAACGAATGAAGACAAGAAATGATTAGATGAATTGGGAGCCATGGAGGAACAATTGAAGGGCTCAAATCTAGTTTGGGCAATGCTTGCTTTACAGCACATTGAAGCACAACCTTTACAAAGCAATATATATGCATATCACCTCTGGCTCTTGTATGATCTGTTGAAAGAGTGAGATAGTGTGCTGTGCCTTAACTAGAACCCATATAAGTGTGGCATTCAACCTAAAATGCAGCTAGTGGTCCCAAGGTTTTTGAGGCAGGAGATTCTGTACACTTTGCATGATGTAAAAAGTGGAAACCATAGTGGAGTGTCACAAGCCAATTGTATTTTGGGTTTTTATGAATATTGGGTGTAGTGAAATATCATTCTTAGTTTGACAGTTTCACTGAATGAGTATGCAGACTCTCGAGCAAAAGCGTGAAAAGTTGGTGAGTTTGAATGAATCAAATTAGATGATCATCTGCCATATGTAATGACGTTTAGTACTGAAGTACAGTACCTGTGGATCTGATGTATACCTCTCCACTCAGTGTGAATGTTCCATAATTTTTGCAGAAACAGGTAGAATGGTTAAGATACACATTAACTGAAACACATGAATTTGTATAACAGCTAGTAAAGCACTATATGTCATAAGAGAATTTGTTATAAAACAATGATATTGGGCCAATTTAAGCATGAAGACTGGATTTGGATGTGGTACATGCTTGCAATGCTGCAGCAACGTGATTCAGGTTGGAATGGATCTTATCTCATGCTCAAACAGCTCAATCCTTTCAACCTACGAGTTTCAGCAGTCACGGGGCACACAAAAGCCTGTTGATATATTAATAAGCTGAAGCCACATGTTACCTACAAACCTCTGGTGCACTGGTTGGACCAGGAGTCAGAGTTTAATGAGATTTATAGAACATAGCAAGGACACTGTTGACCTGACAAGTGATGAGGAAGATGCTGCATACACTTCCCTGGATGTGCACAATAAACCTGCGAAAGCTGGTTCGTCACTGTTCTTGTGTTCAGAAGGCTGCAATGATAACACCAACCTCTGGATTAATATGATTTGGACTGAATACAATTGATCAGCATTTAGGAAGGTCTCTGTGTGAAGATCTGAAAGGATAATCAAATAGCAATTGAAATTAATTTTTACCTCTTACTTTATTGACTATTGAATATAGATTTCTCAATGTTAGAGTTATTCGATTATAACAGTTTAGATAGCTGACGATATTAGCTATAGTACCTAGAACACTGCTATCTGGAATAGTACATCTAAAAGTTGAAATAAATTTCAACTCATGCTTTCTGAGCTCTCAGATGGAATCATATGGTAAACAATGTCATTTGTTTACATGAGAAGTATGTGCGGTTGTTGTTCTACGCACACAAAACCATGCCTAAATATTTTGGAAAATAGACTCAACTTCATATCTTTTTGTATTTGTGCCATATTATAAACATTTTATTGCCAACTTCTCTTGGATAGCTGCATCACTTTTTGCACTAACAAAAGTGGATTCATATTTGAGGTGGACTGAATACTGTATGCTAGTGTTTATTTACTCTAAGCCAGCGTTTCCCAAACTTTTTCAACTAGGGATCGGTTTATTTTTGTAATTTTTCATGAGGCCTGGACTCCTCAAATGCCTAATTAGATAACCCGCTAAGACGTGGCTAAGTCTTAACATTAAGCTGGAAGCAATAGTTCTATCAATACATCATCGATTATAAAATATATAGGTGTTTTATAGTACTACTGTGTAAAAGAGAAATTATACTTCATTGTTATTTAATCTTTACATTAACTGTATATTTATTAATGCTCTTTTAAGAAATAAACTTACCTAATGAGAAGGATGATGCTGTTTTTCATCACACAGCAACTTCAAATCAAGAGGAAAAGAAGTCAGTTTGATCCTCAAATCTGGCTCGACATATGATCTGTTCTTGTACTTGTTTATTAAGAAAACCAACGTTGAGAAGCCTGATTCGCATTTATAAGTCGTGACAAAGGGCATAAGAAATCTCACTGCTATTTCTGATAAATTTGGATACTCAGCACGACAGCTCAGCC